ATATTAACTTTTAATATTTCAATTAAAAAATTTATTTACCACATCAATATTATCATTAAATTAATTCTTAAATAAAAAAATTAAAAACCAACATATTTTAATAAAAATATAAAATTAACCTCATTATTTACCCCTTTCTCGCGTTGTTAACAAGAAGGAAAGACATCCAGAATAGAATCGTTTATAAGACGGTGTTCTCCATCAATTTGACGTGGCAAGATCTAAACTTGAGTAGCACAAGCGAGTATTATAGTTTGGAAGCACAACAACATTCCCGGAACTCGTGAAAACCAAGGATTAGCATCTCCAGATGAGTTTGTTACTTATGTATACGATGATAATATAATCATTGATCGCAACTAATAAATCCCATTTCGTCGTGTGATTTTTACCACAATCAAGGATAGATTGTTATAGTATTCAACTACCGTTCAAATAAGTCAGAAGACAAGCACAATTCTCCAGAAATATACAATACGTATATACGTATATACGTATATTGTATATTAATGGCAGGGGGACAGAAGCAAGGAGAAAAGGCTTCTGCATCCGTAGACCCAAATCCATCGGCGTCGACAGAGATGGTGGACACGAACTCAGTCTCAATATCAGCCCCGAACCCATCATGGTTTACTCCCAAAAGGTGCCTTCTTTATTGAAAGTTTTTGTTTTGACTTTCTGTTTGGTTGATGGGAAAATGAAAAAGGAAAGGAAAGGAAAGGAGAGGGAATTACTTTCTTTGGTGAATTTACTGTGTTGTTGTCTTGTAAAGTGTTTTCCTTAGCTGGCTTGGTTTTTGATTTAACACTAGTGGCTTTTTCTGCAAGTTGATTTGTTCTGCCTTTCTTTGTGTCTATTTTGGGTTTTTGGTAATTGGGGTTTTCTGAATTGCTGGAGATCTAGATTGTTGATTGGGACTGGTTTTTTGAGCTTTAACCTGCACATTCTGCAATTATGTTTATCTGGTAGAGACTATGTTTTGTGAAACTTCCATATTTCGGCTTTCCTGTGGGGATTAAGATTTGTCCAGATTTCTGGTTGTTTGCTCTCTACGAACTGTTTGATATTGTTGCAAGTAAAGAAGATGACTTTTAACAAAATAGCCAGTTTTATAGAAGATAGGGGAAAGGATGGTCATAGAGAAGGTAATGTTTAGATTGGAAATTTTATTGGCGCTTTGCATGTGACAAAATGTGTGGTGTTCCGTCCACAGGTTGCTGGTTATCTTTTGCATTATCAATATGTTAACTTATATTGATCGAGGGGCAATAGCCAGCAATGGTGTGAATGGTAGTCGCAGAACATGCACAGAAAGTGGTGAATGCACATCTGGTAGTGGAATTCAGTAAGGATTCAGGACCTTGATTTCAGTAGGGGAGAACTTTTCAGGGCATTAACTCCTTTGACTTGATTTGGTTTTCAATGCTTAGGGGAGAATTTAACTTGAACAATTTTGAAGACGGAGTTCTGTCATCTGCATTCATGGTTGGACTTCTGATTGCTTCCCCAATATTTGCGTCATTAGCAAAGAGGTAACAACCTTTCATCTTGTGGAAAAGTCATCGTATGCTGATATATTTAAGTTGTAGAAACATGGCCTAATATCTTCCCTCAAATATCTTCAGAAATAAGTTTGAATCATTTGTGTTTGACCATAATTTTTTGATGTTTAACCTTTCCATTCAATAGAAGAGCCTTATTATTAATGATGACTGAGTAGCAATACATGAATGGTTCCAATATGAGAATGTCTTCAATCTGTTTGAACAGAGGAGAGAAACTGCATATGTCTTATTGCATATGTGTGTACCACTCCTCATCTCTGATACGAGTGTTTGGATCTGAGCCCTTTATTTATATTATGTTTGCAGTGTTAATCCCTTTAGACTTATTGGAGTTGGATTATCAGTTTGGACCCTTGCTGTAATTGGTTGTGGTTTTTCATTCAATTTTTGGTCCATTGCAATCTGCCGCATGTAAGTAAATTGCCATTCTTTTCTATCTCCATCTGATATCTGGCCTTTGATTATTTATGTACCAAGGTAGCATATCAGTTGCTGTTTTTCATTTTTCTAGGGTGGTTGGTGTTGGTGAGGCATCATTTATAAGTCTTGCAGCCCCATTCATTGATGACAATGCGCCAGTTTCTCAGGTTTCATTTCTGCTTTGTTTTATTTTAGTTTATTTTTTTCATTTCACGATGTCATTCTCTTCTAATAACACAAATTCAACGACAATTTCATTAGGTACTTTGTGTATCTCTGATCTTATACCCTGCCTTTTTATCAGAAAACAGCATGGCTTGCCATATTTTATATGTGCATACCGTCTGGATATGCCCTTGGATATGTTTATGGTGGAGTGGTATGCCATATTTCTCTTCTTTTTCCTTTACACTTGATTCTTTTCCATCTGTCAAACATGACCTCCTCATCAGTATTGAAAGTTTAGTAACATACAAATTTCCCTTCTTTGACCATACATCAAGTATTTTTATAATTCATACTTTGTGTTTATATTTTTGTTTCATATTCCTTTGACCTTGATTTTCTGTTGCTAACAGGTTGGAAGCCATTTTGGTTGGCGCTATGCATTCTGGGTGGAGGCTATATTTATGATTCCATTTGCTGTTCTAGGTTTTGTAATGAAGCCTTTGCAACTAAAAGGTGTTTTTTTGATGCATTGCCAATTTGTTAAGATCCTATAAACATTTTCCAGCCATTTCTAAATCATTTCTTAGTGCAGGTTTTGCTCATGCTGAATCAAAAAAGGCTCTGACGTCTGTGGAGACAGCTGCTACAGAAGTTCAAGGTGCTGTACAGTATTTTTCTGTTACGCAATAGCAACTTATTAAATTTGACAGTTTAGTTGAAGATGCACCACAAATGGTTTGGTTTTTTTTTTTTTTTTTCTGTATATTTTTTGGGGTTTAAAAATGTTGTTTGATGTCATTAAAGTTGAAATTTGCATTCTATAATTGCTAACTCAAATAAATTTGGAGAGAAGTTGCTGAATAGTTTATCATTGGTGTTAGCTGATAAGAAAGGTTATTCGCTGATAGATTTGGCCCTTGTGTAATTAGTTGAACAATAACCTGAAAACAGTTTTTGTGATAATGATACATTTTAATCTATGTATTTTGACCAAGCCTGTAATTACTTTCTTGTACCTGTTAATCTATGTATTTTGGTTGTAGCTACTTGTCTAGGTTTTTAATGCAGATATAGAAGTTTCAGGTGGGAATGATGGCACTATGTCTGTGACGGAAGAATTTGGTGATAAAAGTCCCAAAAAGAATTCTGGGTGAGGACCTAGTATTCAAGCTCATATACATGCCATAAGATTGCATGTACTGTTATGCTACCTATTTATATTGCATTATCTATATGTACATCTTGGCTTTCAGATTTTGAATACTTTAAAAATTTGTTAATGGAGAAATACTCTATTAAACTGAGTGTAAGGGTTGAAAAGTCTGTATGTGTGTGTGTGTGTGTGTGTGTTTTATTAGGGAGAAACCATCATATGAGTTTGAAAATGAATCTATATTCTGTCTTTTTTTCTTTTTCCCCTTTGCCTAACCTTTTGGTTTGATAAATATTACAGGTTGATAGGCCGATTGTTTGATCGAAATCAGTTTTCGAGATTTATAAAAGATATGAAAGTGCTTCTGCATGAAAAGGTTTATGTTGTCAATGTTCTAGGTATTTTTTTTCTTACCCTGCTTTACAGACCAGATTCTGTGCTGTTATCTTGGAAGGACAATCAAGTAGAAGTTCTATGTTGAACTAATTATGCTCATAACTATGTGTGTGGTTCCCAACTGTGGGACATTGTAATTTCACAAATTTGGTTGCTCCTCTGTCACTAGTCATAAATAAATCTTTTAACATTTCAGTCGCCATTTTCAGGTTATATTGCCTACAACTTTGTTATAGGTGCATACTCTTATTGGGGACCTAAGGCTGGTTATAATATTTATAACATGGTAAACTCTTAGAATCAATGTGGCAATAATACTGACATAATTTAAATCCTTGTTTTAATTTTCCTATAATTTGTATGTGAATAAGAGATAAAGAAATTGGCCTAACTTAAGCTGATTAAGGGATAAATTTTATTTGATGTCATGGTCTTGATGCAGACCGATGCAGATCTGATATTTGGAGGGATGACTATTATCTGTGGAATATTGGGTACACTAGCCGGAGGTTTTGCTCTTGATTTTATGACTAACACAATCTCCAACGCTTTTAAGGTAGATGCTATTTCATTTTCTCTTATTGTATGATGTTTATGCTGTTTGCAACTTTGCATGCATCACTAAATTCATTGGACACTTTTTGCAGCTGCTTTCAGTGACAACATTTATTGGGGCAGTGTTTTGCTTCACTGCCTTTTGGTTTAAGAGCATGTATGCGTTCCTAGCTTTTTTTGCAATTGGTGAACTGCTGGTCTTTGCCACACAGGTGTATGAGAAGTTGCTCTCTATTGCAATATTACATTCTTATGGTTGTCAAGAAAATTTATAAGAGTACTTACAATCATGAACTCCTTAACATCTTTCTTTTCAGGGTCCTGTTAATTTCATTTCTCTGCACTGTGTTAAACCAAGTTTGAGACCATTATCTATGGCGATATCAACTGTTTCAATCCACTTATTTGGGGACGTTCCTTCCTCACCACTTGTTGGGGTTCTCCAGGTTTTCCTTGTTACTCTTGCTGATTGTATCATAGCATGTGCTTTTCCACAGTTTCAAGTTCTCACTGTTGTGTATAATGTCTAGCCTGTCATGTTGAGGCTTAACTTTAGAGACATTCTGCAGGATAAAATTAACAACTGGAGGGAGACTGCTCTTATTCTAACAGCAATTTTCTTTCCAGCTGCTGGGATATGGTTTATAGGTAAGTTTTTTTAGCACTGAACACCATGAGTTGAAAATGTAGAATTTTAGTGAAGAGAGAATGTGTCGGTGATAGACTGATGGTATCCATACAGTTGATAGAGTTGTTACTATATTGACTGGATGCATATAAGAGGATACTGGAAACACTGTTATAACTCCCATTGATGATAATGAGAAAATAACTCTTTTGTCCTACACACTATACCTAGATGATTTTCATTAATATCGCCTTTTATGGCTTCTCTTCTTTTCTCTTCTTAAATCCTCCCAAAAAAAGGCACATGTTTTCAGTTGGCTGGGACCAAAATAGATGTGGTTCTTTTGAACCATTTTAGGTTTATCATTCTAACCTATTTTAGGTGTATCGTTCTACCAAATATCAGCTTGTCCACCCTATGACTCTTCTTCAAATAAGGGCACATGATTTCAGCCGACCTGAGGGGTTGGTGACCAAAATATATCTGACCCTTTTGATCTATTTTATTAGGTTTATCTGTCTACCAAATATGAAATGTCAGTTTGTCCACTCCATGAAAGATTAATACTCCAATTTTGGGTTTGTGCTAATAAATATTTCTCAGCTTTGTGATTTGTGTCTGAACTGTCGAGTATTGCAGGAATATTTCTGCACAGCGTGGATCGATCTAATGAAGATAGTGAGGGAGTCACTAGAGCTGAAAGATCAAACACAACGCCCTTGCTTGAAGGAAAGGCTGCTGAGAAAAGCGAACCTTTGGCCGAACCCTGATTTCTTATTTCCTCGAATTCAAGCACTAATATTTTGTAGATAGAACATGTTTATATATATTAGGTATGGATAAAATTCAAGGTTTATTATTTTAGGTGCAGATTTGTTATCAAGAATGTGTTTTCATGTTTTGGCAGCTGAATAACAGGCATGATTATGGCCACCAAAATTGAAAAATATTGCTTAAAAAAAAACTAATTTTGCTTAATTTAATTGATAAAAATGATTAATAAGTGTAATTATTAACTAATAATGATTAATATTTATTAGTTAATAAATTAAAATTAATCAATAAATCAATATTTTGAAACATTATTTAAGAAAAATAAAATAAAATTTTGGTTGCCATGGTGGTAATAATTACACTGTTGAATAACAGGCTTGAAGTTCGACAATCCTCTTGCAAGAGGCAAGACTGCTTTAGTCTCTTTTGCAACTAATTATCACACTAAAGAAAATGTTGGAGTATAGGTCATTTTGCATAAACTGTATTATTTTTAACTATTAATGGCGAAGCGAGTTCTTAATATCAAGCCCCTCCTCATACACAAAGATGGGTTCACAATAGAAGTTGATTAATTTTCTACAGGAAACTCATGTCAGATTATCAATGATGTACACCTGAAATCTTAGAAGTTTAGTGATGCATTCAACATTTTCTGTTTGAAAGAACAAAGCATCTGTTTACCCCTAAATTAAAATTTTAATGAGGGGTTGTCAGATGTCAAATTGGACTCAGCTATTGGTCTAGAGTACACCACGTCAGTGAGCATTGGCACTGATTTGGAACAGACCTGCTGTAAATTCATAGTCCAGACAAAGGTGAATGGTGGGCTGGTGTCACATGGCAAGGGATAAAGCATATCTTTTTAATTCATTGAGTTTAATTCAAATTAGAAAGCTAGAGGATTATTAGGAGAAGGACAGGTTGGAGTTTTTCTTTTTTATTATTAAGGCAAGTGGTTCAGGAAAAGAGGATGAAGAAGAGATCGAATTCTTGCCATAATGAAAAAAACTTATATTAAGCTGTTGGGTCATCGGTCGGTAGGCCTTCTTCAGGATAGGTTAGAGTTTATTTGAGTTAGAATTGGAATTAAAGTTTCAGCCGTCAGACGTGGTCCAACTACCATTGGCTTGTTGCGAGATGAGGACCGAAAATCATGGAAGAACTACTCCAACACCGAAGAACAGGAAAACAGGGAGAAAATTCGATTTCTTCAGGCATACCCCTCTCAAAAATTGCACAGCGTACTTGTTTTAAATTCCATATTTGCTTAGCAATTTTTTTTGCACAAATTCCAAATTGAAGCTCAAAGATATACTCTAGTTCACAGTTTTAGTGTGAATCTCTTGTTTTATTTGAAGATTTTATCAAAAATTGCATCTTTTGTTAATATTTGAGGATTCAGAAGCGAACAATCCTTGATCTTTAGGTCTGCTCCTAAATTTTGGTTAGTGATTTTTAATGGATTTACTCTCTTTTTTTCTTTTTTTTTTGGTGAAATGGATTTTACTCCTTTAATTGTTATTTTGATTGGGTTGAATGTTTGCTTCCTTCATGCCTTAGTTCACGTTGAAATTCATCATTTTCGGATTGTTTTCTTTTGATTTTGAAGTAGGAAATTCTTTGATTAATTAACAATTAGATTGTGTTCAGTTTAATTTAGTAGTAGATCTTTAAGTAGTTTAATTGATTTTAGGTTAATCTTGAGGTATTCTTAATTTCTGAAACTTTTCTAAAGTTGAATTTTTAGAATTCATCATGATTTATAGGATTTTAGGCGTAATCTGTTCACCCATTCATCTATTTGCGAATTTATTTTGATGGCAATCTTTGATGGCATGTTGTTTTCGTATTATTTTTAGTTAATTATTTTAAGATATTGTCTTTAATTTAGGGTTCGTAATTTTTTGTACATCTTTGTGATTTTAAAGTCTTCTTCAAGGTAAATAGTAACCCATTTTGCAAAATATCACACTTAATTTTGTAACATCATTTGAAGCATAAAACAATTCATAGATAGATATCATTTTTAATCATTTTACTCGGAAGTCACCGCTAAAAAAGAAGGGGTTGTTAAAGTTTTTCTTTTAAAAAAATAAAACGAATGACACATTCTAAATTCAGACTCATGTGACTAGGGCTAATTAAGGTTTTTTAAGGAAATAGCATCATTCTGTTTGAAAGAATAAATTTCCTAGTAATACTTATAAAGCCAATGCTAGTGGCCCTAACTCATTTGCATTTGCCCTCGTCAATATTGTCACGCAAATTGCTACAATCTCTTGCATATGAATTGAAAGTTTCTACGCACTCAAGGATATCTCATTTGGTAATAGTTTGAGAGGGACTCTATTTTGAAGGTCTCAAAATTTGAATTTATTAGATAGTGTGAGAGGATTTGAAAAAGAAATTTGAATCTTTGAGTACATTCATCATATATTAAAAAAGGTCTTTATAAAATGAATTTTCGCACTATTGTCCATTTAAAAAGAAAGATGCAGAAGGGAGCGGGAAATGACAGGTTTAGAGATGCATTAGGAATCCAGGCTCTGAGTACTACACCTTGGATCAACTTGTTGATATTTCCTCATTGATCCTCCAAAGATTGCATTAGCTGCATTTTAGTGAATCAGTTCTTTTTTTCTGCTTCTCCAATCGTTCCTTTTGCTTCTTCATGATCCTATGCAATAAATAAATGTAGCAGAACTTGTTATCCTAAAAATTTGGGATGGCAACCAACAAAATTAATTTAACTATTTTTATTTTGTTATTCTATTAAAATAAAATTGTTTTTAAAAGTTGGGTTAAGATCAAGTGTTGGTTCAGATTGGTATAAAGTAATTGGACTTTGATATTAAGCTAAAATGAAAAATGATTAATACGTATGACTTATGACTATAAACCAAATTCTTAACTGTTTTTTGAGTAATAAAAATTCAATCATCAATAATAAAAAATTACAAACTTTACAGCAACACATACAATGTAAGTATAATGCAAAATTACTACAAAAACTAATTTAAAATTGTAAAACACAATATTAAGCATATAATAATAGAGCAATCTAATAGTTATATAGATATTATAGTCAAATCTAGTTCTTCATGTAAGAGTAAAGCTGCAAATCACCATAATCCGTTAGTACCTACTAAAGATGAGAAATGTAATTATTGAGATAGTCCGTTGTTAAAAGCATTTCAAGGCAACACAACGCCTACCAATCATCTCTATCTCCTACTTTGAACTTTTAATGAGAGGGATATAAAATAATGATAAAACCCACATAGACTATACTAAAATGATGAACTCGCAAATAAGTTAGCATTAAGGAAAGATAAAAACCCTTGTAAAACTTTT